CCCCCCCCCCCCCCCCCCCAATGTAAACCCCTGCTATATGCCTGTTCTGCTTGTGCTTCTCGTCCTTAGCTCCTCCCTCCAAAGTGGGCATGTCCTGCAAACTAGGCTTGTGGGGTTTACGGGTTCTTCATTAGGTTTTTTTTGGGTGTTTTGTTCTAGATTGTCAGGAGGTAGGGCGTTGAAGGCTCAGGATCTACTGCGTTTAGGGTTGGAACTTGAGGGAAGAGTCGAGCCGACTGGTTTGGGAGGATCATTCCGTGTTGTTCTCAAAGCCATGTGTCGTTTAGGTCTCTTGGAGGCATTGGCGCAGTGAGCACCCTTGACACCTCCATCTTCACCCCAACAACTTAAGCCCAACTGTCATTGTATATGTGGTAGTTTCCATAAATAGAGGGACCCAATATAGACCCAAACATACTATAACTAGTACAGTATTATGGGGTCTCCCCAAAAATCCTCCTAATTTTGGGAAACACGATGTGGGAACGCCCCATAGCCTAATCTTCTCTAGCCTGCACAGCACAACCAGACGATCGAAACTTCGTTGGGTGCTGCTTTCTCGTCTTTTGACTCTATACGGATCGCAATCAAAGTCTGGGGAGTCTTTATAGGACGTCTAACCTAAACACTAAATGGGTTTTTGAGACGTATCTGTTTTACTTGGCCAGAGCTTAGGTGTACCTAATACGGGAGGCCAGGCTCCAACAAGCAGCAAAGGGACATCATGAGGGAGGGTTTAGGGATTAGGGCTTACGGTTTAGGGTTTACGGTACAGCAAAGCAGACAGAATAAGACCTGTCTTTGTTTTCATCCTTATGCCAGAAGGCCCCTTTCCTGAACCCCCATGCCACGCTTGCTGCATGATCTTATCCGCCCATACCTCATCTCCAGATATTCTCACCCTGGACATTGAACCTCCCCCTTCCCCGCATACATGGGTAGCTGTCCAACTCCAGCCTCTTTGCGGATGCCGTATGTAACGTTACTCGAACTATGGCATTATGCATATTTTGGACCCAGAACGAACCTTTTCGGACAAGTATCCGCAAGCAGCATTCCCTGCGAAGAGCACTGACGAAGCTAGAGGTATCATCAAGTCTCACTTTGAGGGATGGCGATTGATACAACTCCTCTGCAATCATGACAACTGCACTGGTTGTACGTAGAAAGAACCCTAAACCCTAATCCTAAAGCTTCTGAAGCTCATGATGAGGGCTGCCAACTCAAACCCTTGTGGCTTGGAGCCTTCACTTGCAAATCATGACTGTTTAGGGTTTAGGGGTTTAGGGTTCAGCATTTTACATCCCCCGACCTCCATCCCGAACACCCTTTGAAAGCTTAACCAACCCTAAGTTCCATCCTAAGGTCGCCCTACCATAGGGGCCTAAATAATTACCAATGTGGGTGGTTGTCAAAATTATGGTCCCTTTTTGGGTCCCTATTATAATACGGCACCTAATATTTAGGGTACCCAAAAAAGGACCATAATCTTGACAACCACCCATATCATGTTGATGTCCATTTGAGGTACCATATACTATAATTCTACAAGGAATATGGAACCATAGTATTGGTAATCTAGGCCCCTATATCAGTCTGTCTCTACAAAGCCTTAAGGCTTCGGAGGCTTAGGTTTGAGTTTAGGATATCCCTGTCCCAAAAGCTCCAATTATGTAAAGAACAAACAACCACTTTCAACCTAGCCTACATGTGGAGTTTTCAAGTACTCTGCTCTTACACTTTTTGTCCACGATCCCAACCCCTGAAGATACTTTTTGACAGGTTACCCTCAATGCGTCATATAATGGCGAACGGGATCCCCCAAAAAACAAGGTCTGTTCGGTCTGGGCCGGCCAGAAAGTTTGAACCCTAAACTCAAAACTTCAAACCAAAACTCCCTGACTGCAAATGCTAAACCAAGTCTGCAACCCTAAAACCCAATATCCTTACCGGGGGTTACTAGGGCATAAGGGCATATATTATACAGGGACGTGTAGGGACCATATTCCCTTATTCCCTGCTAAGCACCAGTAAGCATTTTAAACCCAAAATTCTAGTTCCACCCCAGGCCTCATCCGACTCGTCATCGCTGTCGTCATCACCATCTGCGATTTCAGGCTCATCCTTCTCGACGACCTCCTTCTCCTCCTGCTTGATCTGATTATCATGAGTATCATTATCATTATTGTTACTGTGGTTATGGTTACTAACTATTATGACTGTTTTTGCGACGCTCTATGACTATTATTCCTACTGCTACTTTTTCGATTATCACGATTAAGAGGCTTAAGGTTTACAGTTCCGAGCACTTCTCAAAATAGGGGTGCTGGGAAGGATCTCAGGAATACGTTTGGGGATGACAACGCCATTATAGGCTGTCGGGCTTAAGGCTTCAAGATTTTCAGGAGAAGAGTGTTCCGAGTTAGGGGGTAGATAGGGCGAGTGAGGCTCTGGGGCTACCGTGTGGCCGTTGAACCACCTAGACACTGTCACCAAAACTATTGAAAAGGGCTATGCTGGGGACATACTGCGGCACTGGCCTGACCCCAGGGCCCAAAACTCAGCCTACAAGTATGCACCTCCAATGCTGGCACCGGATTTAAAGCCCGTGCATGAAGCTGAGGAATTTAGGACCCTAAACCCTAAACCCAGGCACTCAAATGAGACCATGTCAGGAATTCTCCATCGCACTATAGGTTTCCCGCATGAAGCCGGCTGTGGATCCCAGCAACTACATAGCATCCCAAAATTCATCCTGTAGGTCAGAAACTTCACAACTTACAGCCCCCAGGAGGAATTTGATACCGCTCAGCTTTCTGTTGGGTAGGTTGCTTAGCGCCTCGGCTTCGTTGATCGTAGTCTCTTGTTATAACCCATACAGTACCACAGATTTCATTGCATCTTCCATTTTCTTTTTGCATTTGATTCCCGTTATTAGGGATGATACTCCCAGCCCCTCATTTTACCAGACCCTGTGTCCTTCCTTGCAGCCTCACCACCTCCCACCTCCAAAGCCTGTCATTACGATTATTTTTGTGTTTTATTTATTATATACAATTTTTACCGCTACTGGCAATATTACTAATATCACTCGTAAGGCAAGTACTATTGTGACAAGCACTTCCTGTTTTACTGTGTCTAAGGAAGCTCCGGTCCTTCTTTGCCTTTCCCTTTGGCGGCATGGCTCTGGAGAAAAAAGCTGGGGTAACTTATGCTCAACCTACGTCTAGGAGACAGGTCTCCTTTGAGCCTGGTGTCAAGAAGCCGCGGTTGATGCCTTTCTCTGGTGCGTTTGAATTTTGTTCAGGACATGAGAACCGGTGCAACCCATCAGCATGGCCCAAAGCCGCTGTGGTCAACCAACTTGTAAAGGACACAGGTTGCCGTACTGCTTAGATAGAGGAGGGACCCCTTCGTGCCACAAAGGTTAGGAGGCTCCGGGGTGATGTTGGTGATGACGTGGACCTGTTAAACAATTGGGTATATAGTAGGAGGACCCCCCACCCTGTAATAGTGGTATAATAAGAATATAAGAGGACCCTAAAATAATCCCTATAGTGACTATTACTGGGTGGGGGGTCCACCTAAGGTATATAGGCCAAAACGAGTCCCTGCCTTGTTCGCACTTCATGTTGCAGTTCCATGAATGGAGAACCTCGTCTTCACGAGCATCTGTACGCAGCTGAAACCACAGACTTGGCTGGCTCACTCGGAGCTTCCCTACATACACACAGTAAAATCTGTAGGGTTTAGGGTTTAGGGTTTAGACCCTAGACCCTAAGCCCTGTACCTAAAGCCACCATTCATGTTTGCAGAGCGCACTTTTACGTGATGCTTTGCTCTGCTTGAAGCGCGTCCGTCGCGATCCCAAGGAGCTTATGAGCCTCCAGAAAGGAAGCTTTGGATTATATGGGGATTATATGGAGCTATATAGTTATATTTAATAGGGGTTACATTGGGATAATGGAAAGTAAAATGGAAACTACGATGATTAATCAACCCCCTCCTCTTACTTAGGAGTGAGGTTTAGGGCTTGGGGTAAGGCCAAAGGTGTATGATCCAGTGTCTGCAGTTTAGGGTTCACGCTTTAGCGTTTGCGGTTTGAGGCAAGGGTTGGGCTTGGGGTTTGGGTTTTAGGGTTTGAGTTTGAGGTTTTCGGCTACGGCTTCAGCTTCATAACATATATCTTCAGGGTGAAGAGGTTTGCGTCCGGGCAGGCAGGGCTGAACGCTCTGATTTACAGTTTACCGGCTTTACCGTATCGAAAACCCCAAATTCCGCGCTAGCATGTTTGGTGTCTCTGCTGTCATTCCCCATACCCCCAACCATTCTTATCACCCTCAGCTCTGAATACCCGAACTTAGCCCTAAACCATCAGCACCAACCCCAGACCCTGAATCCAGCCCTGTTTCCCCCCCTAGAACCTAAACCCCTAAGTCCTTTAACCCTAAATCCCCCTAAACCCCTAAACCCATAAACCTTAAGCCACCATGGCCTCTGCGCCCCAACGGCCCAAAGCCGTACCTTGTAGATCGTTGCCTCGTGCTCTGCGATACCACGTCAGGGCCTCGCAGAAGTTAATGCAAAGTCAAATTAGTCTTACTGGTGTCAGCAGGGCATAATGGAATAGAAGCCCAATATAATCTCTATAGAATAGATTCCCTTAAACACCAGTTAATGTTTGCTAAGTGGTTGAGACAGAGAGTTTAAGGGGGGCTTACGTTGGGGCAACTACGAATACTAAGATCCTAATTCATTCAGGGACTGCCAACCCCACCTAAGACGATATACTACCCATGATCCTTGAGGCATGGAGTCTAACGGTAGAGGTATAGGGTGTGGCGGGATTTGGGGCGGGAGTTTTTAGGTATCCAGCGTCAGCAAGACTCTTCTTGACAGTATGGTGGGCTCCTCATGGAAGCTGCTGTAAATGCTACCTCCCAAGAAGCACAGACCTCAGAAAAGAAAGGTCTTGGAGTTTCCTTGCCCAAGCTACTACTCCCCTCATGGGGATCAATATCTTTACTGGCATGCTCGGCTTACATGATTACGCAGGTGCCTGGATAAAATCTCGATGGAGAAGGACTCATCACTAGCAAAGACGAACTAATACAGACAGACAAGAAGCTTCAGCTAAGTCGAGCAGCACCGGATCAGGGGTCAATCCTGAATGATCCTCGAACACGGGGGGCCGCCGTGATTGCTGTGGCTTGCTGCTAACAACCCCATAGTCTACTACAGTCCCTAAGAAACACCGAATTCATCAGGGGTCCTATCTTCCACACCTCTGTCACACAACACCTTGGATAATCCAGCCAGAAACTCCGAATGCCGTAAACCAAACCCCCCCCATCCTGGCCTCTGAGAGGCCTTGACGTGTCATCACTCCTGCTTCAAAAGCCGGTCATGTATCAGGAGGGTCCGGCTAAAGAACGGAAGCAGCAATGACGAAGCAGAACAACGCATCAACAACAAGGAAACCAGCAACAATGACAACATTGCTGATCTGAGAAAGATCGGACTGCGAGGGTTCGGCAAGAACCTTCTCAGGAGAGACATTGCTACAACGTCTACGTTAGCGAAAAACTGAATGGCGTACAGTATGTAAGCTATATCAGGACATTCCTGCTCGAGGTCTGTTAACTATCTTGGAGGGCTTGTACCGCATCTCTCGCTGAACGTCCCTCTTGGAACTGCCAGGACTAGATATGTAGGATCATGTGCACCTGGATGGCAAGATATGTATAGAAAATTGAGCTGATGCCTTGTGCTCAAACTACATATCACCACCACCACCACCACCACCACCACCACCACGACGGCGGCGGCGGCGGCTGCTGCTGCTGCTACTACTACTACTACTACTACTACTCCTGCTACTACTACTACTACTACTTAGACGACGACGACGACGACGACGACGACTACTACTACTACTACGACGGATAATACTACTACTACTACTACTGCTACTACTACTACTACCACCACCACTACTACTATCTTAGTATTACCATCAGTACTGCTACTGATGGTCGATATTGCTACCCTCAATTTTCCGGCTACCACACACACTCGAAGCCCACATGCCCAGGACATCAGGACATAGGAACCAACAATCTGCTTCTGCATTTCTTGAGCCTAGTACGAGAGCTTCACAGATTGTTGGGTCCCTATGGGGGTCCTGCTTCTACAAGGCTCATCACACTTCGGTCTTTGTTTCAAGCACACCTATCTCCTTGGCAGAGTCCGTAGTGTGCCAAAAAGCCAAGATCTAGTGCCGCCAGAGGATCACCCATCCTGGGCGTTGTTTGGGTCATGCTATGTCATGCTACCATACTGGCAAGCTTGCCCCTGTCCTTTCAGTATCCTTGAGGAACATGCTCCATGAATTTTCTCAAAGTTTGAGCACAAAGGAGACTTCTTATGAGTTGTGGTATTCCCACAGGTTTGAGTTGGCCATGTAGACAGTTTTGCAGAAGACATGTTGAACAAGTACCTTGCTGAGATCCCTCGAGCATCCACGCATACTGTAAGGACAGCATGTTCTGGTTGAGTGGCGCTCTTCTTGAGGACCAATGACACGCACACTCCTCAACATTTCCGCCTCCTGTGCTTCAAGAGGTAGAGCCTGGCTATTTGGAGAAATGGGCTTTCACTAGCAAACTCTTGGAGCTTCGCTTCCGGCTTCTGGACAGTGCTGGAAGCGCCTCCACAATGCCCACCCCGCGCAGTCATGGACGCTATTTTTGCATTTCTGGGCAAATACAAGCGGAGATGTAAGTGGGACAGCTATAGCTGCAAGCCTCTTAACCATGCTTCTAACTATTCTTAGGGGACTAAGGTTTCCCAATATTAGCGGCACCTTTTTGGGAGTACCCCAAAAAAGGATTATACTCTATTGGGGTCTAAGCCTGCACAGACCGTGAATTGACACCGAACGTCTCGGCGAATGGGCGGAGCCAATGTGCAGCCTCCCGCGGCCAGCAAACAGCAACAGAGATTTCAACCACCCCAGCCATACCATATGGTAGATTCCCAGAATAGGGGACCCCAATATAGACCCCAATATACTATAATCCTTATTATGGGGACCCCCAATAAGGTAACCCTAATTTTGAGAAACCCCCATATGGTGGATGAAGGAAGCCTTGCACCATTTTGCATTTCCAGTTGCTAGCTTTCCTAGTGTGTGTCTGTGTATATGGATATATACAACATCTAGATTTCTATGCAGGTTCTTTGGATAAGGCGGTGCCAGATTTCCACCATCCGCTGTACTCTGCTTTGGAATGTCGTGTGGTGCTACTACCTGATTAACAGGGAGAGCCGAAAAAACTAACCAACATGGACAGCGCAAGTGCCATTCACAGCACGACCGCCCACACCCCATCACCCACCAACTCATACTTTGATAGGGAAGGATGCGGCAGCAAGGCTGAGGAAGAGGATTTGGGGATTTGACCCCTTAGGGGATCTACTGAAGCTTTTTGACTGTCAAGCTTTTTGGTGCTTCTGGCACCTGAGTCCAGGCTATGGAGAAGAGCAGGCCCCTGTACCTCAAACCTTTAAAATTTCGCCACGCTAAAGTGCAACCCTGGAACACCGAACTCAACCCCCCCAACTGAAACTCTTTCTGAAAAATCAGGACTTATTGACAACCACAACCGACATGAGAAGCATAGCCCTCATTCTCAGCTCAAACGCTTAATCCCAAAATGCAAACTGCAAACTCTGAAACCCCAAATCCTACACAATGTACTTCCTTCCGTTTTTCTTTCCCCTCTTTACTGAGCAGCATAAACACCCCAAACCCGCAGACCTGAAAACCCTAAACCGCAAATCCTGAAGCCCTAGCACCCTGAAAGTCTACAAAAACGCTAAATCCTGAAAATCTCTAGCTACACCCTAAACCCCCAAAACCCTAACTAAGCCCTAAACCCCAAACCCTACACCCAGGGAAGCCTGGCAGGCGTGGATCTGGTCAAAGGCCGCACCAGAACCCGGTCTCCTTCGGGGCCCACTGCTTTGAGAGCTTCCCCAAATGGGGGGGAAGGGTCTTAGGAGTTTAGGGCTTTCAGTGGCTCTTTAGGGTTTAAGGCTGTAGGGTTAGTCTCACTGATTATTACTGTTACTACTATCTTTAAAGTGACCATTAGAGAGTATATTGTTTCTATTGCTC